GGTTGCAGAACCGGTTCCTATAAGCGAAATTAACCGGTGTCATTTTCCTTTATTGCACTAGTGTTATGTAGTTTATCATCTCTTTTTTTGTGTTAATTAGGGTAATGGAAAAGCTTTTTGTGCCGATGGTGATATAGAATCAGCGATTACATGTTTTTAGTTGCAAGTTCAACTTCTCCAAACCTCCAATAAATTTTATAATAAAATATTCATATTTCTATCCCATATACCACTTTTACTTTTTAAACAATTAAGCATAATAATTAAAACTTGACGTCTTTGTAATGCAGAAACTTAACAACAAAACTATAATATGTTTCGGCTACGGGTTCATATTCTTACACAAAATACTCCAAGTCGTCCTCAAGATGAGATGGATTCTTTAGTGGTCCTTTATCATCCAAGTTATGTTATTCGTTTTTTTTCTTTTTTGTCAAAGTCATGTAGGTGAGTACCTGCAAAGGCATTCCGACCCTTAAGTCAATAATATAACGAAACGGTTAGCACAACAAGTGACGTATATATTGTGCATAATGATCCTAAAGTCATACCTGAGACCTTTATTTATACTATTTGTGATGGACTTTTACCTTTCACTCATCTAATGACGATCCAATCACACCTTAATCTGCATTAGGGGCATAATGAGTTATTACCACTGATCAACTAACCATATTGTTAGGCCATATATGATACAGCCTAGATGGACAGCTTAGGATGACGGCCTAGGTGGACGACCTGACATTTGGCCTGAGTGGTGCTTGGTCCCAAGGCAGACCGTAAGGTACACAAGCCCCCCAAGCCAAAGCATGATATTATTCTGTGAAGGGGTTTTGCACATACCATTCCTGACAAAGACGTGTTCTCCAGTTAGCTTTTGTCTTTGCGTACTTTTTGTTCGTTGATTAAGGTGAGTGATTGAAAGGCTAAAACGGGTCATGAAAATCTATGGTCCTCAAATCTCAGTGAGGCCAGTCGAAAATATTATGGTGAAGATCCATTGTCACTGACTTTCGATGAGGCCGACCAGGATTCCTTTGATGAAGATCCACAGTCGCCAACCTTTGAAGAGGACAGTCAGGATTATTTTGGTAAAGATCCACGGTCGTTGACCATCAGTGAGGCCGGCGTGGATTCCTACAAGGCCTTGGGTGGCCGACTAGTTGAGGCCAAGGTAAGGCCGAACACATGAGGCCAAGGTAAGGTCGAACAGTTGAGGTCGAATGGTTAAGATGGAATAGTTGAGGCCATGTTTGGTCGAGTACCTATGAGGCCATAGTTGACCAAGCAGTTGAGGCCAAGGTATGAACGACTGATTAAGAACAAGTATGGCCGAATACTTGTGAGGCCATGGTTGATCGAGCATTTGAGGCCATGGTATGGCCGAATGGTTGAAGCCAAGTTTGGCCCAGTACTTGTGAGGCCATGGTTGACCGAGCAGTTGCGCCAATGTATGACTGAACGGCTAAGGCCAAGTTTTACCGAGTACCTGTGAGGCCATGGTTGGCCGAGCAGTTGAGACTAAGGTACTATCGAACGATTGAGCCAAAGTTTGGCTGAGTACTTGTAAGGCCATGGTTGACCGAACAATTGAAGCCAAGGTATGACCGAACAGTTGAGGCAAAATTTAGACGAGTACTTGTGAGGCCAAGGTTGGTCGTGCAGTTGCGACCAAGGTACGACCGAATGGTTGAGGCCGAATAGCGGAGGACGAATAGTTAAGGCCAAGTTTGGCCGAGTACTCGTAAGGCGTTGACCGAGCTGTTGAGGCCAAGGTATGGCCGAACGATTGAGGCCAAGTTTGGCCGAGAACCTGTGAGGCTATGGTTGGCTGAGCAGTTGAGGCCAAGGTATGACCGAACGGATAAGGCAAGTTTGGTCAAGTACTTGTGAGGCCATGGTTGGCCGAGTAATAGAGGCCAATGTGTGGTCGAATGGTTGAGGACAAGTTTGGTCGAGTGCTTGTGATGCTATGGTTGCCGAGCAATTAAGGCCAATGTATGGTCGTTGAGGTGAAGTTTGACCGAGTACCTGTGAGGCCATGGTTGGCCGAGCAGTTGAGTCCAAAATATGACCGAACGTTTGAGGCCAAGTTTGTTCGACTACTTAAGAGGCCATGGTTGGCCGAGCTATTAAGGCCAAGGTATGGTCGAACGGTTAAGGCCAAGTTTGGTCGAGAACCTATGAGACCATGGTTGACTGAGCAGTTGAGGCCAAGGTATGGCCGAACGCTTGAGGACAAGTTTAGTCGAGTACTTGTGAGGCCATGGTTGGCCCAGAAGTTGAAGCCAAGGTATGACCGAACAATTGATGACAAGTTTAGCGGAGTGCTTGTGAGCATATGGTTGGTCGAGCAGTTAAGGCCAAGGTATGGCCGAACGGTTGAGGCGAAGTTTGGTCGAGTACCTCTTAGACCATGGTTTGGCCGAGCATTTGAGGCCAAGGTATGGCCAAAAGGTTGAGGCCAAGGTTTGGCCGAACGGTTGACGTTAAGTTTTGCCGAGAACTTATGAGGCCATGGTTGGCCGAGCTGTTGAGTCCAAGATATGGTCGAACGGTTGAGGCGAAGTTTCATCGATTACTTGTGAGGCGATGGTTGACCGAGCAATTGAGGCCTAGGTATGGGCGAACGGTTGAGGCCATGTTTGGCCGAGTAGTTGTGAAGCCATGGTTGGCTGAGTAGTTGAGGCCAAAGTATGGTCCAATGGTTGAGGACAATTTTAGCCGAGTACCTATGAGGTCATGAGTGGTTGAGCAGTGGAGGCCAAGGTATGGCCGAACGGTTGAGGCCAAGTATGGCCGAATACCTATGAGACCATGGTTGGCTGAGCAGTTGAGGCCAATGCATGGCCGAGCGATTGAGGCCAAGTTTGGTCGAATACATGTGAGACCGTGGTTGGCCGAGCAGTTCAGGCCAAGGTATGACCGCACGGTTGAGGCCGAATATGGTCGAGTGGTCCAAAAATGTTGATACTGAGCATAAATACTGAGGTCGAATGGTTGGACAATTGAGATATTTTAAAGAACCACTCACTGGTTCCTTATGGCTACAATGAGAGATACTCGCTCGATTCCACGGTGGGTGCCAAAATGTTTTAGTTATGGGGTCCCTAGTGGTCTTCCATCATCCAAGTTATGTTGTTTGCTTTTCCTCCTTTTTGTCCAAGTTGTGTGGGTGAATACCTATAAAAACACTCTAATACTCAAGTCAGTAATATAATCGAACGGTTAGCACAACAAGTGATGTATATATTGTGCATAAGGATTCTAAAGTCATGCCTGAGACCTTTATTTATATTAATTGTGCTAAACTTTAATTTTACTTTTTTCTGACTACCTAATGACGGTTCTGTCATACCTTAATCTGCATTAGAAATTTAATGAGTCATTATCAGTGATCATCAAACTATATTGTTAGCTCATACTGAACACGACCTATATAGACGGTCTAAAAGAACAACCTGGATGGACAACTAGAAAGACGGTCTGAATAGACATTTCAGAACAACCTTACTGGATAAAAAAGACGACTCAGACATTTATCCTAGGTGGTGTTTGGTCGCAAAGCAGACCATTCTGTATAGCTTAATCTGCTAGACCGGTACATAATCATTAGTTTAACTAAATCATAGCATCAAGTTCTGAATATTGTAAAGTTATGTGTTCAACAGCTCACTGGGAAAGAGACATGTGTTACATCAAGAGATTTGCGATCTTTACTGTTCTGGGTTTGTAAAATTATGAGAATGTGTTTCTGTTTCTTAGGGGAATATCTTTCCTTCGTGATGTCATATTTAACTTGCAAATATAATCTTAGGAAAATATGATTTAGTCAAGGTGTAATTAGCACGACGACATAATTTTTTTGTGAAATAATTTGTTAACGGACAATGATGTAAACCCTTAGTATTTTTATAACTCGTTTACAAAAAATATGATCCTACAAAGCAATTTCATATGCAAGATCTAATTTTAAAAAGTCATACATCTCTAATTTAAATAAACTATTTATATTATTGTCATTAAGAATGGAAATTAATATTGACCTGATCTTTATAACTTGTATCACATATTTTTAATTAATATTATTTACACTTAAATTATGAAACCAAATAATCAATTGTAATGATGATGTTTTTAGGCGTTATTCCCTTTATATATTATTTTATACTCATTCGAATATTATTGGTGTTTTTTTCTTGTTTTCAATTAGTAAATGTTTTTATTTTATTACATAATATAAAAAGTTTATATTAATAATTTTTGTTTTTAGTTTCCTAACTTATTTCATAATTTGTACTTTATTTTATATTTATTTAATATAAAAAGATATTCGTAATAAAATGTAAAAGGATTTACCAATGATCATAGTCGTTTTAAGTATTATCCGCCATAATGATTACACTCAAACCTTATATTTGATTTATAAGAACGAAATATTGCTCTAGTATTCAAACAAATACTTTTTTTTAAAAGAATCCTATGAATCATGTGAATGCAAATAATATAAAATGGAATGTATTAGGTAATAATGCATTGACATCTTGTCAAGTTTTTACCTAAAACCGACAATGAGACGTGTTATCAATCAAGATAAATAAACACTAAATAAAATAAGCTATTGGCACTGATCCAATAATTGATGACTTTAACAAGAGTACAATTTTTTTTTCAATTACATATTTTAAAAGTTCCTCCTCATTTATATTGGAATTAATTATTACTTCATATTATGTTCTCCGAGAAGTTTGACATTTTACATATTATATTATCAAAATCATTGCTTTATGACTATAATTGAGAATATGGCAATAGGTTTCATATTAAAATTTCACAGCAGTTGAAAAATAAAAAACAATAAAATTGAGTAATTGAATTGAATTTATTTCTTAAAGAAAAAATATTGGTCATTTAACCTTTATTCTCGGGTATAGAGACCCCACAATTGAATTAGCTGTGAGAGGAGTGGGCAAATTGTGTTCTATATAAGTGGGATATGGTGGCATCTTTATTCTCACCATCTTTCTCATCTTGTTCCTTTCCATTTCTTGCATCTGTTATTTGCCTCTTTCTTCTTCATCATGACTCTTTTTGGCAAAATCAGCACTGAAATTGGTGTTCATGCAACTGCTGAAAAGTGGTACAACCTCTTCGCAACTCAACTCCATCATGTTCAAAACCTTGCTGACAGAGTTCATGGAACCAAGCTGCACCATGGTGAAGACTGGCATCATAATGAGTCCATCAAGCACTGGACTTATGTCATAGGTAATTAAACTTCTAATACATATATATATAACAAATATAAATAGAAAAGAGGCAATAGAATTGTTTAAACCCTTGTAAACATAAGACTTTTGTTTAAATATATTATTGTATGATGCTTATAGATTCTCAAACCTCCTAAATGTGTAAACATGTGTGTTTATATTGATTTGGGTAAGAATAGACTTTGGTATAAAATATAAGTGAAATTAATTTTTTTACATTATTTGGGTTAGTAAAGGATATAAGATGCTTTAATTTTTTCAGCTTTTGTCCTACAGGGTGGTTTTCTTTGTGTAATTTGGGTGTAAGAGATCATAAGAAGTTTTACTTTTCAGCTTTTGTATTGTGAGATGGTTTTATTTGTGTAACTTGTTTTTTTTTTTAAAAAAAAAACAAAAGAAATCTAGTATTCAAAGGTTTCATATTCATGTTTTTTTGGTATTTTTTTGCATTATTTTTGTGTAGATTAGAAGATGTTAAATATATATAGATTAATTATTTTTCTGGGTGTAGTTGTTATGCAATAATTGTTTATACTGATGTTAATTGTTTGTGAAAGAATAGATGGAAAGGTTACAACATGTCATGAGAGTATTGAATCCGTTGATGAAGCAAACAAAACAATCAACTACAAACTCTTCGGTGAAGAGATCGATGACAAGTTCAAGGTGTTTAGGCTCATATTTCAAGCAATTGATAAGGAGAATGGAAGTGCTATAATCAAATGGACCATTGAATATGAGAGGGTTGGTGTAGAAGTTGAACCTCCATACGGCTACATCGAGTACGTGCACAAATGCACCAGTGACATTGATGGTCATCTTCTCAAGGCATAGCTCAAAAACTTATGTATAAAAAGAAAAGAAATAATGAATGTGTTTGAGCAGAAGGATTCTTATATAGATCCTTCCTTTGTATTAAATAAATTTGGATATGCATGTAATGAGTGACGCCTTCAAGTGTGCTAAGTTTCATAGTGCTCGTTGTGATGCACATAATGCATATTTATTGTTCACATTAATATATATATATATATATACATATGAGCTGTGCTTTGTAGGTTTTGTGCATTGTTTAAACTAAAGTTGATTTGCCAAATCTTCACCACACGTGGAAACGCGTTAACGACAAGTTATGGAATTTTTAATGTAGTCGTTTCAATTGAAACACCAAATACACTATTAATAGCAGTTTATGAGATCACCGGGTTCAGAGAAGAAGTAACAATTTTATATAAGATTACGGTAATTAGAGTTGTTTAATTATTTGGTAAAAATTTTATAGAGACTTGGGTTTTAAAATTATAGATGGATATGCGACGCTCTTAATTTATTTTCTTATCATGAATTTTAATGGAGGTGATTATTATCTAGTTAAATGATGAAGGCAAAAATTGCTTATTTTGGGTTTGAAGGCTTCTTCCAGGAGACTATATATATTATGCAGTTGCAGGGGATACACAACACATGGGTATAGTATTGAAGGGCAATTCCGAGACACGGCTGATACCTACAACTATGGTGTTGTCTCGTCTTATAAATCATAAGTGATCAAAAGAGTATCCATGTGAAGGGTGATGAGGATGATAAAAAACTGAATTATTTATGAATAATTACGTACAGATTAAAATTCGTAAATAAATTAAGTATTACTTACAAATTTTACATATAAATTCTTTTTTATAAATAAAATCTCTGGCTTGCTCGCTTTCTCCAATCAGAGTTTATTTGTCATAGTTAAATAGAAAATAACAAATCAAAATATTAAGCTATTAAACGAGGTAGAATTAAATTAACTTGTATAATATTGACAATGTGAAGGTTGAAAATTATCATTTGTGAAACTCTAAGTTGGTTTGTTTCAAATCAAAGAGAATAGTCTTCCCTACACCTAAGTTTGAATTGGTTGGGATTGGGCTTGTGTGTGGAAGGTCGTTGTTTTTAATTGTTTGTTATTGAAAATGGGTGGTGAGGGAGGGGATGACTGAGGTGAGTTTTATCGGTGGAGCTTTGAAAATATAATAGGTTATGAGCTATTTAAGTAATGCTTAGGATAAACTACTCTATGACAAAAAGATGAAAATAAGAATTATGCGGAATTTCAAAACAACAAGAGGGAGAAAAAACATAACCATTTCATATTGTTGCTCATTACATTTGTTGATTTTCCATTTTTCTTCTTATCTTATTATATAAGAAGTGAGGTTTGTACCCACTTATATACTATAAATTGGCTTTATCTCTATAATGGATGCTCTAACTATAGTTATGATACCATGCTAAGAAGTGAACTTTAAGCCTAACTCAATCTCATAAAACCGACTTATAAAGTAAGGTTTGCACCTACTTATATATTATAAATTTACCTTATCTCTAATCGATGTGAGACTTTCCAACATCTTCCTAGTTCCTTTTAGTTAAATTCCCAGCAACACAACCACCCACTAACCTTTCTTTCTGTTACCTTGTTAGCAATTTTGAAGTGCAGGAGTTGAAGACAAGGATCAAATGGTGGAACCTTATGATTACAATGTGATATAACTTAGATAAGACGTCTAGATTCTATAGAATTAGAGAATTGGTTTTGGTGTTTAAGTTTACGCCATGTGATGCATTGTTTAGTTGTGTTTTGGAATTGTTGAGTTTTTTTTACTATATATATTTTAGGTTATAACTAATGAATGATGCCTGACATTTATGTAATATATGCATTACGAATTTTGTAAATCCCATAGATCAATTTGGAAATTGTACTTGCCTTCTCAATTTAAATTCCTGATTTTAGCTATCGTGCTTTTGTATGTTATCTTATGGTGGTATTATAGGTTGGATGATCTAAAAGGCCTTGACTCCATAAGCCAAGTGTTTCACCTTTTCCAATTGTTAAGTAGGATGCATATTTCCATGATCTAGGTTATCCTTAGATGAAAACATCCAAGTGCTCTTTTTTCTTTGATTTTAGAAAAGCTTTAATAATCATCTCTATGAACTGCTTTTGCTTGAAGAAAGCAAGACCAAAGCCTAAGCTAGAACTATCAACCATTCTTGCTTCGGAAACATCTTGTAAGTAGAAAAAACTTCATTCACGTTGGATTTTTCATGAAATGAACCATATCTTCACTATTATTATTATTATTATTATTATCGATCTTACCATGTTGTTATTTTTCGAATGCCACTTGTTATTAGACCAAACTAATGGATGAACTTAAATTTTTGGTGTGGGATTATTTTTGTTTGAGTCTTATTTGTTTTCTGATTTTATTATCAAGCTTGGTCTATTTTTATTTCGGTTTGTTCAGGTCAATTTTTGTTTTATGTCGCACATGTTTCTTTTTAGATGTACCCGACCAGTTGTTATTGCGTGGTAATTGTTATTTCTGTTTCATGTATTCGGCCCAAGGGCCAATTGTATAACTATTTAAAGTCATCACAGTTGAATGAAAGGTACCACAGTGAACTAGAATACAATTATCTTTGTGTAGTTGATGGAAGAGCTCTAACGAGAGGTTGATTAAAGCTGCACGAACACGAACTGGACCTCCTCGAAGCTTCTCTGACGAAGAAATACGCAGCGAAAAGATGTATCACTTGGAGGAGAAACCAAACTCGAGACCTAATTGGAGGAGAACTCGAGATTGAAGCGGAATCTGAGAAGAACTTAGGAAAAACCTTAGACCTAGGTTTAAACGGTGGAAAACCCTAGAACGGTGAGGAATCACTAAACAGAACCGATTAATCGGTGAGAAACAGAGTTTAATCGGTGGAAATGTGTTAGATCGAAGCAAAGGAGGGTTCAATCGGTGGAAAATGGAAAACGATGTGAGGAGAGGTGTTTAATCGGTCAAAATATAAAGAAATGGTGAGAAGAGACTAAGGCGAGGGAGAAATGAGAGTGACGAAGTGAATCTGTGATGAAAACAAGACACTACAAGAAACACGCTTATTACCAACAGATAATTACCGAAGGTCAAGTGTCCTTCGGTAATTTGCGCTGCCCTGTAATTTATCGGCGGATACGAGGCTTCGGTATTGTGCATGATGTCTTCACCTAAATTTTGGGTATTCCCTCACTCATTTTCAATTTCAGCAGTTCTCTTTCCCCCTAATTTCTCTCTTCTCTTCCCCCAAAATTGAAATTCGAGGGCATGTGAGGGTACCCCCAAATTTCTCCTCCTTTGTTTGATTCCCTTTTCTTTGCCCATCATCGGTCCCTTCCATCTTCTGTTGGCATAACGGTGGTGTGAAGAGCTCGAGCATTTCCGGTGGTGGAGCGGGTTCGTGCAATCACGGAGGGTGCCTCCCTATTAAGTTCACAATCATTTGCAGAGGGAAACACCTCCGATGGCGACGGCAGCGGAGCCAAAAGCGAAGACCTACTAGTGCCACGAATGCGATATGAGCGTGTCCCTCACACTCTTTCCCTCGCCTCTCCTCTGTCACCATTGCCACACCTCTTTCCTCGAACTAATGGACCCTCCCTTCTCCCAAAATGATGCCGAATCACCCCTCTTTGACCTCATTTTCCAAGACGTGCTCTTACTCCTCTCCCCGAAGCCCCTCCTCGCCAAACCCCACCCTCTCCCCTCCATCAACGTCACACCCTCGCTCCTTTTCGCGCTAGACCCCAACGACTTCGTTTTCTTCGCTGTATGCAAAGACCAAATTTCCCTCTTTGACGTCGAGGCCAAATAGTTGCCCTGCAAACACCTTTACCATGCTGGTTGCATCACGCCGTGACTCGACCTCCACGCGTCGTGCCCGTTGTGCAGACTTCGCCTTGAGGAAGAAGCGGCACAGGAGGAGGAAGACGAAGGTGACGGCGTGGTGGCGGAGATCCGGAGGAAGCCTCGAGGTGCCCAAGCGCCTTTGCTATACGGTGTTGCTCTGTCTTTTCTTTTCTTTGTCTTGCATCTCTTTTTTAGTGCTAAATTAGACCAGAATTCTGCTCTGATCAACTAGCTTCACTGTAATAATTGTGAGAATGAAACTCCAATTTTGGTTGGAGTTCGAGATGACCATTGGAGAGAGTATAGAATTTTAGTTCGGTTAATGTGTGTGTGTTATAATTGTTGAAGAGTGTTATTGATGACCAATCCTAATTGTGTTTTTCAACTGGGATCTTGAAATTTGAAGGTTGATTTTGTTGAAGGAGGGAATATGTTATGATTACTGAGTTGATATTACATAATTCAAGATTGTTGAAACTTTAAATTTGTGGTGGTTTGTTTTGCTTCAAAACTGTTATGATCTAAGCGACTAAAGGCGATTCTATCTTTATGTGCTAGAATGAAATTTCATCTAAGCATTTTAATTTACAGCTTAATGAATAAATTGTTTCTTTAGATGAATAATGAAGTCTTATGTCATTTGATTTGATTTNCAAAAAGATGAAAATAAGAATTATGCGGAATTTCAAAACAACAAGAGGGAGAAAAAACATAACCATTTCATATTGTTGCTCATTACATTTGTTGATTTTCCATTTTTCTTCTTATCTTATTATATAAGAAGTGAGGTTTGTACCCACTTATATACTATAAATTGGCTTTATCTCTATAATGGATGCTCTAACTATAGTTATGATACCATGCTAAGAAGTGAACTTTAAGCCTAACTCAATCTCATAAAACCGACTTATAAAGTAAGGTTTGCACCTACTTATATATTATAAATTTACCTTATCTCTAATCGATGTGAGACTTTCCAACATCTTCCTAGTTCCTTTTAGTTAAATTCCCAGCAACACAACCACCCACTAACCTTTCTTTCTGTTACCTTGTTAGCAATTTTGAAGTGCAGGAGTTGAAGACAAGGATCAAATGGTGGAACCTTATGATTACAATGTGATATAACTTA